CTATATATGTATATACAAGTGTACGCATTATACATACGTATATATGTCTCGAAATCTTTAAGTGAAATTGATAATCATACTACTTCGTTGGTCGCGCTTAAAAGTGCACAATTAAATATTGATTAACACTCTTAAAATGCAAATACAGCAGCGTGGCGACCTTAATCGCGACTAAAAGGGTATTCGCTCATAAAGACTGACAAGCAGGCAACAAACAAGTGTGCAAACAAGCAAAATACGGTTGAGCGATGCACTTCACCTTGAGCTGGCGACACTTGTGACACTTGCATCGGCGATTAATGCGTTAGTACAGCCAGTTGTTATACCCTGAACCCATTGAAAATGGGTAAAAAGGGTATAATGTATTTGTGCAAATGTATGTAACAGGCAGAAGGAAGCATCTCCGATCCCATAAAGTATATATATTCTTGATCAGCATCAAAAGCCGAGTCGATCTAGCCATGTCCGTCTGTCCGTCTGTCTGTCCGCCCGTCTGTCGGTCTGTCCGTATGTATGAACGCAAGGATCTCAGAACCTATAACTATATTCGATAACTTGCCGCGTTTCCAAGTAATCGATATCGAAATCCTGTTATTTGAGCAATTTCGGCAAATAATATGAGCTAGAGTCACCAAACTTGACATGTAGCTTCTAGAATAGTATATATATATATTAAGTGTCTTTCATTTTATACCTATCGCCTGTTGGAATAAGAGGGTTCAGGGTATGCCCTAGTCGGGAGCTCCCGACTAGAACCTCTTACTTGTTGCTATTGCACCAGTCCACAAATGGGTTGGCCTGCCATTCTCATAGCTTTACTGCACAAATATTTGTTCACATGTTGTGGGACGCGATTGGGCAGACATTTTATTGCAACTTTGCCTTTATACAAATGCAAGTATTATGATCAGCTAGCTGACAGATTGTGTAAGTGGAATAAGGTCACTAGCCTGCAACCGATAAAGCAAATTATTAATAAGTATAATCAGTGAGCACACGTGCTTTACGATTATTATTCATTTGTTTACCAGCATAGAATTGTGGATTTTATTTTGTTGTCACAACTACAATATGTTAATAGTTAATAGTTTGTAGTTATTTTCAATGTGCATTTTCGAAAATTGCATATGTACACATATTCGAAGCTTTTGGAGCAAGAGATTTCTCTACGCCTGTTTGTTAAATTGTTGGGTAAAAAAACCTGTCAGTTTTAAAAAATCCATAAGCAATCGTATGTCGATGCCTAATTATGAACGCAATTCGTTTGAGTTCCGCACCTTTGTCTATTTAAATGAATGAAGTTTATTTATATACGGTAAACTAGTTTCAACGTACATATACATATATATATGTTGACATCTTACAGTGCAGGTCTTTCGAGATCAGGCTCAAGCTCAAGCTGGTTCAATTAAGTTTTTCTCTAGGAGATTTGCATAAAACTGAAACAAGCTAAAGTTATGTATGCTCACAGCTACTTTTTGACTCCGCAAGTTTGTACATTTGATTTGATACTGCACTGTGGATTAAATATTCATACTGGCATCGAACAACATTCCTTTTTAAAAATGTATATATACATATACATAGCAAAATGAAGAACGGAAATTTTAGTTAAAAAATTAATGCTTGCTATCAATTTTTTTATTTTAATACTCTCTGTTAAGTAGAAGCCTAAACAATTAATTCCAAAAAAAAAAGAATAATTCAATAAAATAAAAACCAAACAATTGACCAGTCCGCCGACCTATGATTGTTTACTTTGGTCAGACGGCACCTGTGTCCCGCCAAAACTTTAAAGACAATTAAGCAATCGATCAAATTGGAATTAAGCGAATTGATAACCAACTGCCTGTCGTTGTCGCGTGGAGTGCAGAAAGCAGTGTGTGGTAAAAGTAATAGACAAGAAATGTATGCAGTTAATAGATTTCAGAGACCATTTGGCACATAAAGGGCTCGATCTGTGCGTTAGAAATGTTTGGCTTCTTTTGGCATTTGCTAACTCGGCCAATAGATTAACGACGTTATCGGGCAGTCATAAATCATTTTATAATTTCATATGCCACTTGCGACAAACAAATGCGTATTCGTTCAGAAATTCGATTGATATAATCCGCAAAAAAAAAAAATTCAATTTATTTATATAAATAAATATTTGTTACGAAACGGCACACGGTCACGGTGCGTGATAGATATATGTACATATATTTCTGCTTGACCGTACAGTGCTCATCAGTAAATATGATAGAGGTGACTCACAATTAGTTAGTATACTATCTACATGTTCACTCAAAGCGTTATCAGAAGTGGGGCAGACCCTTGAGGAAAAACCGAACACAACAGCATTTGGCGATAATAACTGATTTTCAGTAAGGTTACGCCAACAAATATAAACTAATATAAATCACATATAAATGGCAACAAGGCTAATTATGTTTATGTTGTTCCCTTTGCTGGTGGCCTTTTTTTTTTATTATGTCAATTGGTTTTATTAAGTGCCAAATCAGCTGATAATTACGATTATGACACTGCCCATAAACACACTGGCTTGAATGCCTGAGGAATTATAGACTATGATCGCAGTCAAGTGGTTGTTGAATTGTAATCTAAAACAGAGACGCGATAATATACAGAAATAGAAATATAATGTATGTATATAAAACATTTATATTGTTGGTAATTAAAATAACATTATATACAGAACTTTACCCCATTTTATTGTCCTTAACAAGAGTTTGAAATCATTAACAATTGACAATCAAGTCTACTGTGCTCAACTAGAAAACACCCTGTGCCACCAACATATCAAGTGGTTAAATTGGCATACAATAATATTAGCCCTGTTGCCCATTAATATTATCAGTAGGCTCTTGACTATCAACTGTGCCAATCCTTGACGAATGGGTTACAAATAAAGTATTTATGAAATATACATATTTATATTTTAGAAGAAATTTGTTTTCATGCATACAAAATATACAACACTAAAATATCTCATGCTTTTTGTATCTAAATTTGTAGATATAGCCATATTTTTTTTTATAAATTTTGCGACTATAGGGTATAGTTTGTTACAATATAATGGCCCCTTATCGAAGGCCCATGGCCAATTTTGTGGGTTCTACTTAAGTCACATGAAAAACAATCAACGATGCATACACTTTAAGGTGTTATAGCCAGTTAAACAGTTATAAAAGTTTTATAAATACCTTTTAGTTGAGTTGGGCTCATTTATTCATATGTTCCTTAACGTACAATGATAAAATCATTTAAATATGCCTGTTACCCCCCTCTCTTGTTACTCACTCTCGAAACGTATACTGCCCTCTTCTTGGAACGTTGCGTTGGCGTTTTCGGCGTAGACTACGCCGTACACGCGAGCCGTTTCTTTACGTCATCGGCTTCGCACGCGTCTGCCAAGTGATCTTTTTGTTCTTTGGCTGATTAGCACATTGAACCAAACACATAGAACCGACGAATTTGACGTAGCCAAAGACTATCAAATTTTAATTGACGCTTCATTTAGATTAATAATTTTTATTTTATTTAAATATTCATTTTTATTAATTAATGCTGCGTACAAAAATGGATCATTGCTGACTATAACAAACACATGCACACGTATATGTATATATTGTGTATACCCGAAATTGTCTGTGTGTGTGTTTTGGCACGTACTAGACAGATAATGGCTGACAACTTTGTCTTTTACAAGGCGCTCAATTGCTGACCCATTGTTGTTTTTAACTTGAGCAGATTAAAAACAAGTAAGAAGTTCTAGTCGAGAGCTCCCGACTAGGGGATACCCTGTACCCTCTTCTTCCAACAGGCGATAGGTATAAAAAAATGAAAGATACTTGATATATATTTACTATTCTAGAAGCTACATGTCAAGTTTGGTGATTTTAGCTCTTATTATTTACCAAAATTGCTCAACAAACAGGATTTCCATATCGATTTTTATCGACTACTTGGAAACGGGGCAAGTTATCGATTATCGGAAACAAACTCGATCTGCGCATGGACTAGGAGGACCTACAGCTAAAATTTCAGCTCTTATTGGTTCTGAGATCCTTGCGTTCATACACATACGGACAGACAGACGGACATGCTGATCAAGAATATCAGAGATGCTTCCTTCTGCCTGTTACATACATTTGCAAATACATTATACCCTTTTTACCCATTTTTGATGGGTTCAGGGTATAACAAAACTGGCATTGTTATTGTTCTTGTGCACTGATTATGAGTACCCGATAAGCGTACTGCTGGCTTGCTGTGTGTAGCAAACTGCGCTATCAGCATACCCTTTCTTAAATGTGTGATATGTACTAAATACATATAACTGTGCGTTGAGTCAACCACCCGAACTCAGATCGCAGAATTTTCCGTCTTTGTACTTTTTAAAAGATAAATTGAATATATATCTACATGCTTAAGTACAATATATTCTGGTTTTTTCTTGTCTTCTTGATGTACATGAATGTCCAAGTTCAATTAAATAAAGTTCATTCACTGCTGAGCCAAAAGCTGTTATCATAGGGTCTCTCGGTAGAATGTAATGTGAGGCTTTATGGACATTTACACTGGACATAGTGATTGTATTCAATCGATTTGCGATGTGTATACTACTGTAGGCATGTGTGTGTGTATCTCATTATGCAGCCAAACATAAAATAGGAAGACTTAAAAAGGCAAGGACAGCTGCTCGACTCATATAGACAACGTTCTCAAATTTTCTGTTAAAGATTGTTCGAATGATTTGTCATAAAGGCACAAATAAATCTTTTTGTCCTATTTTTATAAAAATTAAAAGCAGAGTCGGTCTAGACGTGTTTCTCTTTGTAACATACAAAGACAGGAGTATATAAAAGTTTTGACTACTTTTCCCACTCTTGCAAATATCAAAAAAAATTTTATCGGTTCTTCGTAAAGTAGACATTGGTGTAAATTCTCTCCTTGATTTATTTTCCGCTTCCAATTTGTATGTATCTGCATTTATTTAAAGTGACAGCCTGAAAGTATTCTACTTTTTGTAATTATAATAATTATATGGAAATAATTATACAAAGAATAAAATATCGGAAGGGTATACAAATTGGTTTATTTTCTTGTATTTTAAATAAGGCTTACTCGTTTCTACCACAGCCCTTTTTTATGATCTTACCAGCTATGTTATAAGTAGAAAGCGGATGCAGTTGTGTATTGGGCAATTCTTCAAGCAAAGCACCAATTACCGTAAATGTACCTTTGGCCTGGTACATCAGGCTAAGCAGCGGATTTCTTGGATTGACGCGCATGTTGTTCATAACATAAACGCCTTTATTAAGGGGACAACTAAATGTATAGTTGCTTTGTCTTAAGACACTTTCCTTGGCTGGCTTAAATAGTGGTACGGCATTTATAATACCTTGCATTGCGCATAATTTGGTGGTCACATTGTAAATAATACGTTTCTTTTCCTTAGGGCTCTGTTGTACAATTAACATTCTTGAGACGGGTGACGAAATAGCCTCGTTGATGGTTGTAATTGATCCCACGCCGTTTTGATTAGAAAATGTCATATTAACGATGAACCGTGGCCGATCATCTGTCCAGTTTGTGTAAATAAAATTCACGTAGTAACAGCTCTAAATAGCCAAAAAAAAACCGTAATTAATGTCACTTGAAACAGACGCGGATAGATACCTCTTTGCACTCGACGTTCATATAGATGGATAGTACTATCCATATTGTTACAGGCACAAATATGTCGGGTAATATGTGCATAGCCTTCTCGTATGTTAACAGATAACTAAATGAGCAGTGCCAAGTAATGAGGCCTATATTTGTATTGAAATAAAATAAATCCAAAGCAATCATCAGACATCATTAGGGGAAAATGATCATTTCGGTTGAAAACAAAGCAATTACTCCAAAAATAATATATTAAATTTTTGTGCCAAGCGCAAAATTTCAATTAGCTTCCGATGCACCCGCCTCGAACTAGTGGTCTTTAGCACCTGAGATAGTTCGAGCTCATTTTCAGTGCGAGTGACTTCATCCGCCAATATGAAACGAGTCATGAATATAGAATGGGGCACTTGAATGTATGCGATGCGTTTTAACTCAGCATCAAACCTGTCGAGAATATACGAAGTTACTAAGACGTAATTTTATAAATGTATAAGCAATGTGTCTTACGCCTCGTAACTATACACACTTGTATTTACACCCACTCTAGTTAGATTCTCAACAAAGACATCATAGTAGAATTTCAGTAAATTCCGGTAGTTTTCTTCTAGTATGCACGTTGAAACGCTTGTAAACAAAAATGATATAAGATCGTGTATGACAGAATCATACTGTGCGGTTTGAAAGTCGATTATTTTTAATTGCGTCGGCTTGCCAGATTTATCTGTAGGAAAATTGTTGAATGAATCTATATATCTATATCTCCAAATGCCTTCACTTACTTACCATATTTGAACATAAGGTTCATTGTCCAGAAGTCGGAGTGAATTACACTGTTAAATGCATTATCTTCGATAGGCGGCGCTGCTATAAACCTAAAGAATTCCGTTGAGAGTTTTTTAACATGCGCTATCATTGTCTGATCGTTGCCGGTTGCTTCTGCAATATCCACCAATGTTTCCGCTATCATCGTTGCTTTCGATTCCGGCGCGGCTGCATGCCAATCGAATTTGTGAAAAAACGGTCTTAGTTCCATTTCAAAGACATTCGGTTTCTTCAATCGCAGAGCAATAGTAAGTGCATGGAATTGCGCCATATACTTTAGCACCACATGTGTATGGAGCAAGTCAAAAGGCTTTAACCTCTGGCCCGGCACGTAATTGCTGTCCCGCAGATCCTCCAACACCAAAATCGCGTCCTTGTCCACAATGTTTGCGTTTGGGATCAGGGATATGCGTGAGCCAAAATACTGTGCAAAGCCATCAAACTGTGCGTCTCTGTGTATGCCAGCCTCCACTTGTAAAGTGCTCAGCGCTGGTGCTAATCTCTCGTAAATTGCAATTTCTGCCAAACAGGTGCGTTCGGGCTGTATAAATTGCCAATGTTTTGGGTCTGTGGGCGGCACTTTAGCTACAAGCCGCTTAGCAAACAGCTTACCGTCAGGACACTGCACTTGGGCTCGTACGGATATTAAAACACTGCCGTAATTATCACCCGGCTGTGTTAGGTTTTCTACTTCATACGAATATAGCCTACCACCATTAAGTGCTGGCTCAATTACTTGACCCAACCGTTGAATTACTGGCAGGTTATTCATCTTGATGAGTTCCACGTATTGTCGTACTGTAGGCTAGCGGGTTATTGATACAAAATAGAGCGCTTGGCCTGAAACATACACAACACGCTAGATTTTCTGGCTATCGCTCAGATAACGTTTGTATGTAGCAATCTTCTAAAACTGATAAAGAATCCCTCTCTCACTCTTTCTCTTTCCCTTTTATTTTCGCCTTCTGCTAAGCAGAGCATATAAGCAGAAGCCAGAACTCCGAGGCACTCGAAATAAACTGAATACCTATATTTATTGAAGTAAGAATATTAATAAATATGACATTCTTTAAGTACTTACAACGGTTTGGCTTTTTGATAATGGTTTCACTTTTTGATTATGGTTTGGCCCCTCAATCACTTTGGCATCTAAATCTGGCAAAATTCATGTGAAAATGGTACCCTCAAATATCGTATATGGACATAGGTCAACATTTCCCACCCCCATAACTCGGTCAAATCTCATCCGATTTTCACGAGGTTTGGTGTTTTGGTAATGGTTTGGCCTCTTTATCAATTTGACATCTAAATCTGGCAACATTATTTTTGGTCAAAATTCATGTGAAAATGGTACCCTCAAATATCGTATATAGACATAGGTCAAATTTTCTCAGTCCCACAACTCGGTTAAATCTCATCCGATTTTTACGGGGTTTTGTGGTTTGGTAATGATTTGACCTCTTAATCAATTTGGCATTTAAGTCTCACAACACTATTCTAGGTCGAAATTCCTGTGAAAATGGTACCCTCAAATATCGTATATAGACATAGGTCAAATTTTCCCAGTCCCACAACTCGGTCAAATCTCATCCGATTTTCACGAGGTTTGGTGTTTTGGTAATGATTTGGCCTCTTAATCAATTTGGCATTTAAATCTGACAACACTATTCTAGGTCGAAATTCCTGTGAAAATGGTACCCTCAAATATCGTATATAGACATAGGTCAAATTTTCCCAGTCCCATAACTAGGTCAAATCTCATCCGATTTTCACGAGGTTTGGTGTTTTGTTCATGGTTTGGCCTCTCAATCAATTTGGCATTTAAGTCTGACAACACTATTCTTGGTCAAAATTCATGTGAAAATGGTACCCTCAAATATCGTATATGGACATAGGTCAAATTTTCCCAGTCCCATAACTCGGTCAAATCTCATCCGATTTTCACGAGGTTTGGTGTTTTGTTCATGGTTTGGCCTGTCAATCAATTTGGCATCTAAATCTGGTAACATTATTTTTGGTCAAAGTTCAAGTGAAAATGGTACCCTCAAATATCGTATACAGACATAGGTCTAAACTTCCCACCCCCTAACTTGGTCAAATCTTATCCGATCGGTTTCAAACTCATATTCAAAGATTTTGGAGAGAATTTAAGAATAAGGACTCTCCCTTGCTCTCTCTCCCTTTAATTTTGCTTGCGCTAAGCAAAGCACATAAGCAGAAGCCAGAAGTTCAAGGCAATCGAAATAAAGTGCATACATATATTTAGTTTAGTCAAATATGTTGAACACTTTAGCCAACCTTAAAATTTCACTAATTTTAGCTAGTATTTTTTCACCTCCTCTGTTTTTAGTTAATACCGTCAAATCAACATCCTTATAGTCGGTTGGAAGCGTATTGTTGTCGGCCAAGAGTACCTTCGTCATGAAGAGAGCATGTGGCACCTGTATATGCGCCACACGTTGAACTTCCTTGAGAAAACTGTAAGTATATATATTTGCTATTAGATATGAACTGATATCAATGTTAACAAAAGATTATACAACAGAAAAGACTTAAATTTTAAAGACAGTAGTCGAAAGCTAAAAACTATTCTATAAATACTGATATAATTTTGAAGCTCTGGATGATTTGCAATTTTTCGTTGATAACCATGTTATCAACCAAAGCCTTGAGCACATATTTTGACCGTCTTATCGCCTGTTACATAATGGGGAAAAGACAGTAAACTACCCATGTCATCCGAATTGTTTAAGTTTCATAAGTGTACTCTGTTCTGAAGTAAGAATGGTAATAAATATGAAATTGTTGATGTACTTACGCCTCATAGCTATAGTTTTTTGTATCCACATTCACGGTATGCAAGGACTGAACGAATGCTTCGTAGTATATGCGTAGAAAATGATAATAGTTTTCCTCCAACACCAACGTATCTACAGTATAAAAATATTAGTATACATTTTGAGCATACATTTAGCATTGTTCTTATTGATATGAACTGACCTACACTTGACAGCAGTAAAAAGATTAGGTCGTGGACCACTGACTCGTATTGAGCAATTTGAAAGTCAACAATTTTAAGCTTAGCGGGGAGACCAGCATCATCTAAATAAAATTCAATAATTAACATGCTCTGCTAATTTATGCGAACCGCTTCTTACCATATTTGACCATCATGTTATTTATCCATAAGTCCATATGAGCTGAAGAAAAATTAAAAATGTATTATACAATTATTGAGTCTTTCGCTGATGGCTTCGACATACAGAGAGTAAAATATGATATTTACGGAAAGTAAACCACCCTACCTATAGAGGTCCAAGGCCCATCCTCTACATATTTAGTTGCTTGAAAGTTATCAAAGATATCCAGTAATTCTTTTACGCGCTTATAAACGCCGTCATCGCCCTTGCAGACATCCTTAACGTCATTTAAGGTTTCATCGTTTAACACATCTTTGGTATCAGGTCCCATATTGTCACCCATATTAAATTTTTTGAAATACGGTAGAACATTTTGCTCAAAAACTTTTGGTTTTTTTAGACGCAGGGCGAGGGGCAAGGCGTGGAACTGCGCCATGTAGTGCAGAATGAGCACGGTATGCTGCAGATCGTACGGCTTGTGTCGATTTCCGGGCTTATAGCCACGTGCCGTTAAGTTTTCCTGCACCAGAACTGCGTCTCTGTCCACTTTATTGGTATCCGTGCTGAGGGAGATGCGTGAACCAAAGTAACGTGGAAATCCATCAAAGAGATGGATTGGCAGTACGCCGGATTCGAGCTGTAGCTTTTCCAGTTCCGGTGCCAAATACTTGTAGACGGCATTTTCCGTGATGCATGTCCGTTCGGGTTGAAAAATTTGCCAATACAAATCATTGGTAAGTGGCGGTAACTTTGCAATTAGTGGCAAATCCTCAATGATGTCATTCGATTGCTTAACTTTCGCATTGATCGCTAGCATAATACTTCCATAATTATCGCCGGGCTTAGTCAGATATAGGCTTTCATAGGATTCAAGTGTGGCGCCCTTTAAATGCGGCTCAATCACTTTGTGCAATTCTGTAATTTTGGGTACTTCTCCCATTATTGAGGCGTGCTTTGTGCTTACACTGACGTGCAGTGACTGAATGAAATCGCAAAGTAGACCCCACACTGCTTTTCATGCATCGGTATTGTTCTGCTCATGTAATCATACACACACATATTAATGTAGATAATAACAAATAATTGTACAATTACTGATAGTATGAATATTTGCATGTGTGGGTCACAATAGACGAAAAAAAAATTTACTCAAGTGGCGCAGATAAGATGAATTGTAGACGCAACTGTTTTCATTTCTGGTTGTGTTCACTTTAAACAAGTGCTCCCTGAATAAACACAACATTTGATTCGAATCTCTTCATGATTAACTATACTGTGTATGCCTGGTATCAGTTGAGTAAGTCAATCAGTTGCGACAGTGCCGACAACAACAACGACAATCTGTACTAGCAACAAGTGAATATCATCTTCCCTCCGTACCATTCTAAACAGTAACAGTAATTTGGGGTCTTTATCAACTGGCTTTTATTTATAATCAACTACATGTTCATGTTGATTATGGAATGAACATTTGTTGCATGGAATGAACATTAATAAACAAAATCTTTGATTTTGCCGGCATTTCGTTTTTCAATGTATGCTTTGAAATTGCAATACGGTCACACCTTTAAAGCGCGCGACTTGGCAGTCACGCACGTAGAGACGCATTTACTCTTATCGATATATCGACTGGAATATAAAAACAATCTTCTCGTTCGTTTGTGTACACATTCAATTGCAAAGTATTTTGATTGAAAATAACTAAAATGGATAGTTTTATGGCCGCCATTCAACAGGCGGCTCTGCAGCAACAAATTTGCAATGCAGCTAACATGATGGGTATGCAGTTGCCTTTCCCATTTGGACAGCCTGCGAATTTCGTTGGCGGTGACTTCGGATATGGGCGATCAGAAGGAGCACCATTGCACCCTCAAAATGATACAGAGGACCTAGATGACGAAGATGCAGATGATGAAGAGCAAACTCGCACTTTGTTCTGTAATAACCTGGACGAACGCGTAACTGAGGAAATACTCTATGAAGTATTTCTGCAAGCAGGTCCCATAGAAAGCGCGCGTATACCACTGGATAATACTGGACGTCAACGTAATTTTGGATTTGTTACATATCAGCACAAATGTGCAGTGCCCTTTGCCATGGAGCTCTATCAAGGACTTGAACTGTTTCAAAAGAAAATCACAATCCGGCAGCAATGCCCAGATAAACCTAAGCAACCTTTTATTGGACAAGGACGGACACACAATCCGTTTTCTCAAGGATTTGCTTCTCCCGCCCCACCAATGAATACCCACGCAGGTCCACGTAATGCTCGTCACAGTATGCACGATGGAAAGCAATTCGACCGCACCGCTGGCGCTCAAAACAAATATAATAATGATATGCGGCGCCGCAGCGACAGTGCCGTCATGGACCGCAAACGGCCAAGACCACATCAGCAGCAACAACACAACAACAGTGGCGGCAATCGAAGGTCTGATCAGCGATATATCAACGGAAAAAGATTACTGTAGTGTGTGCATTAAATTGCATAAAGTTCGTGTTTAAATTTATTTTATTAGTCTTGAATATACAAAGGCGTAAATGTATTATCTATGATCTATTGCGTTCAAAACATTGACCATATTTCATGATTACGATTACGGGCTTGTGCTTTCACTGTACATCTAAAGTTCTTTAAAATAAGGTAATCTTTATATACATATATCCGTATAAATTAAAAGATTAACGGGTAATGCTTCTCAATGTCTTTTCCACATTTCGATATGTTCGCGGTGGTATTACCTCTAACAGTAATCGCTGATAGCTTCCGTGCTCTGACAAAGCACGGAACATTGACTTGGCATAGCTGCGTGTTTCGAGGCTGCCTTCAAGCAGAAGATTTGCACCAACCATAAAGAATTTGTCACGACTTTCACGACCCATTGAGTAAATGCGATCGCAGCCTAAGCGCTCGACTAGTCTAAACAGCAGCTTCGCAGTCGTCGTCCGAACTATGGCATTCTGGTGCTGAGCACCTTTGTTTGTCAAGATGTTGAGTACTTTCGCAGGTTGCAAGTTATCCACCAAAGACTCCAAGGCTCCGGTGGCATCGGCACGCAGGAAACGATTTGTGTCTGCTGTGCGGTGCAACAACGCACAGACCAGGTCATCGCACTCAATCTCCAATGATTTGCATTTTAGGGTAAATAACTCTGTTGCGGCCTGACAGGCTGCACGAGCTACCTGTGAGCGTAAATTGCGTACAGAGCGAGTAAGTTGGATGCATGTCATGTGCATGTGGCTGTCCAAGAAATCTGCATGGTGGCGAAGCAGACGCACCATATATTTCAGACCTGTTATGTTCACTTCCCAGTTATTAGAGTCCAGCTGATCAAACGTCTTTATTAAGGCTTCTCGTGGCTTCTCAAAACGTGACATATGCGGCGGAAATAATTCCGTCTGCGACATCTTGATGGCCTGCTTCACAGGTGAGACGCGACGCTGACCACGCAGAAGATATGAAGTCTTCGACTTTTGTTTTAGCGGTGTGTGCTGTAACTTTGGAGGCAATCTGCTGTTGTCAGGATGGGAAACGGTATGAGAGCTGTTATCGGTTGTGGTGCTACTAATGTCCAGGGAACCTTGCTTAGAAGCGGGTCTTCGGCCATAGAGCGAGTCCAACGAGATGCTACGTGAGTGTATGGCTCTTTCGTCATGTGTGATATCAGCCTTTTTGCTGGATGAGGCTCGCGATAAAGATGCGAGAAATGTTTCATTGTCTGTTGATAATTCTGTCAGTTGTTTTATGGGCGGCGACTCTGCGGCTGTTGATTGGAGCTCGTTCTGGAGCTCCTCAACTACTACAAAGCTATTGCTGCTTTCAATCTCCTCTTCAATGGCCAAGGATTTAATTGACTGGGCACGTGACATTTGTGGTGTGGCATCTTCAAGCTGTGTCCTAATGCTTTCTGTTTTGCTCTGCAGGCTGTTCACGCTTTCGTTGCGTTTCAATGCGGGCTCCTGAAAGGGTGACTCCGTCTCCTCTTCTATGTCGTCCACTACGAGCTCCCCAAATTGTTGCTCCATCTCTTCCCGGGCTATAGAGTGGTCCACATTCTGTTTGTCCACTTCGGTTGATTTAGCCGAGGCAGTTGACTTTTGCGAATAGCTTGTTGACCTTAAGGACAGAGGAGAGCCTTCTGATTGATGCGGCCCAGATGTTACTGCGAATGACTGCACTGCGGTGGACGTTGTAAGTTCATTTGCTGGTTCGACCTTAACACTGTGTAAAAAATTATAATTAGTTAGCAAATTTACAGTGTATATAATTCCCCAATAGCACCCACAAAAAACTTACAGCTCAGTTTGTGAAAAAACCTCATTCACTAAAGTTTTATCAACTTGCCACGTCACTTTATCAGCCACATTTGTAGGACTTTTATCAATTTTCATCGATTTTCTACGCTTGGCGTGAGAACAACAACAACACAGACAAAGGCAGCGATCATAAGGTATCAGCCGCTGTTGCGCCGCAATCGCCTTTTCCCGTATATATTCCTTAACTGTGTGAAATGTGGTGCGAAATAACCCCAGTAGAATAGCGGGTTGACCGCTACAGTAAAAGGCATTTTGCATTTTACTAAACTGATTTCGTTTGCTTGTCTCCAAAACACACTCTAGTTAGAGAGAGAAATACATTTTGTCGATGAACTTGATTAAAACGTATTAAATTGGAAACTAGCCGGAGGACTGTTTGACCACTTGAAGCAGTAACGCCACTTTGCAAACTGTTTGCAAGGTTCGTAGAACGTCGGGTTGACCACTTCTCCGGCCACGCCAAATGGAAAGAAATGCCGAATCCACAACTATATAAGCGGTCTTTATTTCCATTTCAGGAAAACACAACACAACACAACTAAAGTTGCAAATGTAAAACAGGACATTGCGTTTTCCACACTAAACAATGCCCACACACACACACACACATATCAGACAGCCCCTGCCCAAGCCAGGGGCACCCCGGAATATATACCAATACTAAGGCTATAAAACGACGATGACGACGAAGGTGGAAAGCTAGCCATTGGTCTGCGTAGCACTGGTGTTATTTTCAGGTTGACTTTCTGCTTTTAATCGGGCGCCTTCTTACACATGTTCGGGCTACTTCGTGTAATTGACGAAGACGTCCAATGAAAAGCAATCTAACTCGACCCAATTCGACCCTTGGGTACCCTATCTTGTGTCCATTTATGTGTAGAATTAATTCAGTTAGCTATATGGTTTAACATATGCAAATATATAATTACCAATTTAATTATTGATCTTTCAAAAATGCAACAGGAATTTAATCCAGTTGAAATATTAAATTATCACTTGACACTCTCTCTCTTTCTCTCTCTATACTTAAAACTTAAATTAGTGTATTTTTTTAAAGCCAAGAAAAAAATTAATTTTTTTGAATGAATGGCAAAATATTTAACTAGATTATGATATGCTCTAACAAAGGCTGTGGGCCACAGCTACTTGTAGTGGTCATTTGAAGGTTCGTCACTGGCCGCCATCCTGTACCTACACCATAAATGTCCCTGATGAGTGCTTCATCGCGCATTTAAATTATTTAGGTTAAATAGCAAAATTGTTGGGCTTTTATATGCCACCTTTAAGGCGCCAATGTTGTAAGGCGTTAGGTGGCCAATTTTTGGGGTCAAAGGTACAACTAAATTTGCTGGCCGGCAGTTTTTTGTTTAAGGAGTGACGGAACTACCTACCCATTAACATTTGTATCAAATAAGACTGAGTATTTTATAATGTAGAATTAACATTTCTTAGTGGTGGTTTTGGTCAATTAAACTGCTGTAAGTTTTTATTACCTGGTATCAGGTGTATTGTCATTGTGGACGCAGTTTTAAGTTGTGTCAAGAAAAGCTTTTCTAACTTACTTGAATTTGCCAAAGTTTTCGGCATCTTTATTCACCGATGTTTCTGATTGGTTATTGATATCCTGTTTTTTAGTTTCCTTTAGTTTCGAATTTGCTTTTGAAGAAGAGGAAAAATTATTGCTACAAATTTCATTTGAAATATTGTTATTCACCTTGAGATTGACTGCAATTATCCGTCCAGTTTTGCTGTGCAAAAGTGTGCTGCGAACTGGTTGGCTTCTTAAGTACATGCTGTACATGCCTTTGAGTTTTTTGTAGATCATCATTTGCTTTTGGGTTCTTCGAATCTTCGAAACTATATGGATATGGAGTTCGCTGTATATTGCGCATAAAATTGCTAATGAAATCCGTTTGCCGCCTCACAGCCGGAAACCTTGAAGTCGATGCTTTAGTGTAAAAATTTGGATTCTATTCGTCAAACTTACCGGGAATTTTGTCGTGTTAAACGCCTGCAGGTTGTCAGCTGTATAAAACTACTACTTCCACTCCCACTACCACTACTGCAGGATGTTGTCGTACTGTCCGTGCTTCTTCCGTCCACTGAAGATTCAGAGCATGCTTTGGTTACTACACGACGCTCCAAGCAGTTTACTTGAATGATAACAAGTAAATGTGTATAATGCATATTAATTGTTTAGAGATTTCAATGGACTTACCATTCTTACCACTAGTGCCATAGATTTTTCTTTGAAAAAAGTCCTGAAAGCACAATATTGGGAATACAAGTACTTATAAAAAGTGCATTTTTGAATGACAAAAACAAAAGTGATAACAGACCAAGACACAGGGTATCTGTTGGGAAGGAAACTTACATTAGAGGCTCTAGACATGTCCAAGGCTTCGGGTGGTGAATGGAATGAGTGTCGATGCAAGTTCTCATCTGCGTTACAGCTAAATAAACAATATTTTAACAATGTTAAATACTTGTGCATATTGTTATGAAAACGGATAAAAATCAATTAACCTATGGTTCATTCCGGTGACTTCCTCGTCTGCGTTTTCTTGAAGCATACGTTTTTTGTTTGCCAAATGCAGACGTCGTCTTTTAACAGCATTTGGGGAGGCAGAGCCTTCTCCTTGCGTTATCCAATCCATATCTGCGCCAAATCGTGAGATACCAGCCTGGTCTGCTTTATGAAATGTATATAAGACGGATCCATCAGGGGTAATAAGGGGCAATTGGAGGCGGGACAGACGCGTTTGCACAGCCTTGAGCAGAGCAGGTCCTGATTCGATATCATCTGTTATCTCAGCAACAATTTGTAAAATCTGGTCCACCGAAGAAATATCAGCAAGCACAGCAAATACCTCCAATGCCGCCTGACGTACCCGACGCTTTCTATTAAGTGCAGCATAGGTGACTTGTGCTGCCAGAATGTTGATGTCGAAACAGGTGCCGGGAAATGACATCAAGGAGTAGATGGACATTTGTAAAGCGTGATCACGAAACTGCCGTACGATATTGTCAAATAGAAATCGTAGCAAGTATTTCAGACAATAGCTCACCTTTGAGCTCTTTGCATGTAGATACTCGGGCGCCGTTAATTTGGCGACAATTGTCCCAGCAGGCAGGCGCTGCATAAGTGCCTTGCATACACGGTTTGCACCTGCGTTTCCCTGGCGACACAGTCCCGACAGTATCTGTGGCGTACGCTCCTCCAAGTTGTCCAACGGCAGGCGTGAAATCAGATTTACCAAGACCTCGCGCTTAAGCTCAGCTACCTCGAAATTTCGCTCCGAAGAAAGTAATGTGCGCAGCAGACTATCCAAATAGGGCTGCACCAGCACCAAGTTGGATGATGAGCTTAGTGCTATTTCAAGCTGGGCTATGCCCTGTAAACGATTGCGCCAGTCCTGTTTTGTGGGGGGGAGGGGAAGAGATTGAATAAATGGTTTCGTTTACTATGGCAAATATTTTATGGCCAAGTTCTGAGTCATTTCAATAATTGCAGTAAGGGTCCATTGTTTCTACTAAATACAATTGGAGCAAGCCGGCAACGATAACGTCGCTTTAAATAATTTCCTGACTGCCCGACTGCCCCATGCTCTATAAAATGTTTTTATTCGCGCCTTTTTGTATTCTGTACGCGCTATAATTTTTGTTAATGTTTTATTATTTTTGTGCCAGTGCTGACCCAGTTTTTGGCACGCTCTGTGCCCCACTCTATCCCCATGCCAAGCTGAGCTGCGTCTCCATCAGCGAGGGGCCCAATGTATTTCTTTGCTATTTTATCGTCCTTTATGCATGCTGTTACTAAGTTATTGTTGTTTTTCTCGCTTCTCGCTAGAAATATCGCGTGCATTTAAATGATTGGTCTGCAGGAGCTACCAAAAGCACTATACATAGCATGCACCATAACTAAAACTCTCAAGCTGTTTTTTGTAAGGTGCCACCAGATGTTATACTATATTTGGAGTCAATTGATCCTAAAGGATTTTATTTGCATTGCAATACGAATTTGTGGGGGGCGTAAAATGAAAATGCTTTAAAAGAACAATTATTATTAAATAATGAAAAGCTGTCACATTCATAGAACGAAAGCTTGCTCACAAAAGTTTGACGGAAAACGCACTCATAAATTCGACGTAAAAATGTAGGGCTTTTGAATTGTTAACGTCAAAAATTAATAGGTCATTGGTACATGGGGGGTGCACACAGGAGCCCTATCAACGGCTGGAATGGTTCTGCCATTAATATGTGTGTGTGTGTGTGTGGTGGAGGTGCCCATTCCTGCCGTAGTTTTCATTCGGCCGGTAATAACAATGTATGTATTTGTTGAAATTGAGGCAATGCGTGTCGTGTACATAATAAGTTTTGGGTGGCTGCCATTATGAAGGAAATTGTGAACGCATATGAAACTGTATATGGTATATCCTAGTGACCCAGTTAGCGTATGAAACGGCCACTGGCATTAAGAATAGCGTGCGTTTAATATCCTTTTTTTTTAATATATATACATATCTACGATGCATCTTACTTGCACTAGTTGAATTTTGCTACTTACTCCTGACCGCAAGTCCATTATAGTTTTGTGGTTGACAATGTCCAGGTCTTCCCAGCTGTTTGGCGTAGCTGGTGCTTTCGCTGGCAAAGTAGAAGAAATAACTGGGTCAGTTGTGATGCTATCACTTGCCCGTAAAGAGCGCGGCGAGGGATCCGGATCACGTTGAAGATTATGCAGAACTTCGATTTCTTTGTGTGGTACTTTAGGACTGGCTGTGTTACTACCAGCAGGACTGATGCTACTGCTGCGGTAGACAGGAGAGTATGAGACGTCCCGCTTTGGCGATGTATAGGAGCTAGTTTTGTTATTGGTCGACCTTGCCTGTTCCCTACTTTGCTGTGGCGACTGAGCACTACGAGCACGGGGCAAAGGCTTAGTATTATCAATCGGAATCTCTAAGGTCAAAGCCGTCATTTTGTTGCTGCCTGCCGGAGTTGAATTATTGTCTGCGTGTTGTCCCTCTAACAGTGATGCTGAAGTTGCTGTCTCATTAGGCGGCAATGAGCTAATGTTGAGTCTGCCGTAACCTGGCACCGTACTTTCGATGTGGTTTGTAGAGGAAGTCGCATCACTGTCGGGTGTGCGCATTTTGACCACTTCTCCACCAAAAGTAACACGTTTCAAACTGCGAAACGGCGTGCCGAGACCAGTTTCATTCTGCGTCATTTCCTCCATTTCTGAATCGCTTATTATCTGGAGTATGCCCGCGTCCGTTTCTCGTGGAGACTGGGGAGCAGCAAATGGACGACATACAAGTTCCGTTGCATCTATAATGGGACTATCCGTCTCCTCGGTCTCGGTTTCCGCTTCGAGAATTCGCATGGTGAGCGTATCATCGTTGATTTGTATTTCCGTTTCCATTATAATCTTTCCCTTCTCTGGCAGTAGAGTTGCCTTTGGCTCATGTGAAATACTGCTGCTACGCCAAATGTGCTCTCGAGGCAAGGCCCTCCAAGCGCCAGCATTGACACTGGTCATGGAGCCATCAGTACGAAGAGGCTTGTTCGATATTCCATATACTTTACATAGTTGGTTATAGAGCGACAATGCATCCAGGCCGTCCATTTCGTCTAAATAACTCTCAAACTCTTGCACCCCCAACAGTTCACTTATTTTGGCCAACACCTTCAGCGTAATCTCCTGTTGGGTTTGTTGCAGCTGCAGGCGCTGCACTAGTCGCTCAATGGTGTGCTTCACTATAAAATGACTTTGTGGCGTGTGCAAAATCGATTGTAGTAATGGCGGAAGTGATAGCAAAACGCCACAGCTGAGACGTTCTTCATAGGTTGGCTGCTGAGTTAGTCCAGTGTCCAAAATCTGTAGCATAACCATTTCCGGTACGCCTGTCTCCGAGAGATAGACCCGCAAGCAGTCGAGTGCACCTTTTCGTACCGTGGGTGCCTGGTGTCCGAGATTTTTGATTAAATCAATTAAAAAATGCATACTATGCTTGTCAGCTTTTGCCCCCATTATGACCAAAACGTCGACGAGAACGCGTAATGCATGTTGGCGCACTTGCCATTCGGGATCCTGCAACCGCTCGTGGAATTCGGCAAACATGGTGGCCGGGCAAATTGTTTCCGGCAATCGACGCGTACGTAAAACATGCTCCCACAGTGGGGTTAGCTGGACAGCAGTCACAGTTTGCTCGTGGCGACGCTGCATTTTATTTGGGCAGATACTGATGTGCGGCGAGTCCGTGCTGGTGCTTGACTGTTGATTGTTGTTGTTATCCTTGTCCTCGCCAATGACATTGTTCGTGCCGCTCATGTGATAAATGACATTCTCATTGGCGTCGCCGTTGCCATTAGCCGGCCGCGTTTTATTATCCGAACTATTATTTCGCTCGAAAAAGCGCTGAAAGAACATGACGAGCTACGGTTCTTCGTTGTTTTCGGTTTTTGTTGCTGCTGCAATTATCTAACTAGTCGCATATAATGCCTTTCTTCACTTGATTTTAATTTATAACTGTCACGCACGCTTGCATCCGGTGCAGGGGCTTCTATGACTCGTATTTACATTGATTTCAATGTCATTTTTGTTTTGGCTCTTGGAACGATTTCACTACTGGTCTTTCCCAGCTGCTAGCAACGACTGCAGCCCTTAGCTGTTTGAGAATGCCTTTTGTAGTAAGTTGGCTAACAAAGTGCCACGGCTCGGGAAATTACCCCCGTATTTACGACAGAGGACAGGACTGCGCAAGTCACAATTCCTCTCCCAGAACGGCTGCGCGAACTAAAAGTGCAAACCTTATAAACAACCATTACTTTAGTTGTGCAGGAACTTTTGGCAAAAAAGAAGAACTCAATTTTAATTTATATTTATTGTAACATACAAACACTAACTATATTTTAGCTATGTAATTATTTGAAAGTTTTAGTGTATACCTTAAATCTGATATTAGTAGAATAACTAGTAAAAATGCTAGCGAGAGATAGAAAAAGTTTTATAATGTACTTAAATGGCAATAAATAGTTTAGCTGAACTATTTTAATATAGCACACATACATACATTTACAGAAGTAATTGGATTACTAAAAACTAAGGGTATAATTCAAGAAGTACTAAGTTATTAAAACTTGCTTGTGTTGGCCTTTGCTTTACTATTGGCAAATGCATGTCAGTCAGTACAATTACGTTAGAAGCCTATATGGATATGCACTTAGGATGTGTAACCTTGATACAAGGTGTTAATGTTTTTTTAAAGTACACTTTCATAAATATCAATGCAATAGTTAATAGAAACTTAACTTAAACTATAACGATACAGTTTCGTTGTACATTACAAATTGAAATGGCGACGCTTAACACTAGTAAAGGGTTAAAGTCTTACGCTTAATATACATACTCGGTCCTGAGTATTTCACACATACTCCTCTGGTGCTTTTTGTACATTGGGTATACGTAAAGTGGACACTGGCTGGGAGGGCTGCTGTTGCTGTTGCAGCGGGCTTGTCGTGTCAGGCAGCTCTGCTATGTCCTTGAATACGCCCATTAGATTCTCATAGCTAGGCCCCCAGTTTAACAAATACTCCCAACCCAATGTGGTTGCCGATGGCGAAGCATTCCCATTTGCTTTGCGATAAATGCCGCTCAGGTGGTTGGCCAGATCGTCGTCGCTGGCGACAAGTGTGCTGAGCGAGCCGCGAAAAGATGACTCAAATCCGTCATAGGCGTGCGGTGGTATGGGCGGAGTTTTGGACACATTTTGGTTCCTGCTCGGTTCCCCGCTGATTGCACGCGCCACAGGACTGCGACTATCGAGCATGCTTTTGCTAGTGGAATACTTGCCATCGCCGCTTAAGCTATTGTTGTCATACTCGATCTCAGAGCAAGTAAAGCTATCGTTGCCGCTCTCATCTGTAGAGGTTGAACTATGCGCATCCACATCTCCGCCAAGAGACAGGTGAAGTGCACCACCTGGAACTCGAGGCGTCGGCGCTTCACTGCTTGATGACAAATCCAGGGTCGAAACTAAGCTGCAAGTTCTCGGTCGAGCATTCAGTCTCTCAATTTCCTCTGCTGTGAGACCCATTGAGGTCTGTGTTGGTGCTTTAGGCGGTGCCACAGGCTTTTGACGACTGGCACTGGAACTCTGACCGGACAGTTGCGACATCACAGGACTGTTAAGGCTACGTTCGCTGTTGCTGTGCAGGGCATCCTTGCCAACGCCACCAGAGCTAGATGTGGTGGCCAGAAGTGCACTCTGCAACGGTTTGCCCGAGATATCATGCAGGGTTAGAATCCTCGGTTGTTGAGAGCTCAACTCAGAGCTGGGCGATAGGCGTGCAAGTGGTGTAGTCTGGTGGGTGCGAGATGCACTTGTCGATGGCGGTGGTTGGTTATTTTGATTGGGTACGCGTGGTACAAAGGGGGCGTTGACAGCGTGGCGCGGTGAATGGCGGTGCTGCTGTTGGGCTGCTGTGCTCTGGTGTTTGTGGTGTGTATATGACGCTACGGGGGGCGTAGTTGCTTTATACTTGCGCATGCCGCCCGCTTCGCGATACCCCTTATAATGGTAAACGATATCAATATCGGACGGCGCAATTGAGCTTGCGTTTTCTAAATCGTAGTGTTCCGGATACTCGGAGCCCATATCTACAGAGCTTCCATGGTCGAGGGGATGCAGTGGGTTTGGTGGTGGTATAGAGAGATGATGTTCCTCTCTGATTGGTGGACTCTTGCCGACCACCTCGCGTTCAATAATGTCTGGGCGCTGGGGACGTTGCTGTGGCTGCGGATGGTCAGCAGTCGGCGGTAGTTCACTGCGTTCTTTGAACTTCTTTGTAATAAGCTCTGGTCCGGCCAAATGATGACCTGGTGGGCGCATGTGATCATTGTTGCATACGATTGGTGCCGGAGAGTCATTCGCATGTATACTACGGGAAATGACGTGGTCTGCTGTTTGGCTTTGAGCAGCTGGGGCGGGTGGGTGCTTTATTTTAAATCCTGGTACACCGCAGCTGAGGCTTCCAATCTTTTCCTGTTTTCCCCGAAAGCGATAAATAACGTATGAGCCAAATATAGCTACTACAAGTATGACGAAAAACACAATAACCAGTGTGATGCCTATGCTCAATGGATCAGCTACTTGGGCAGCATCGACACCGATATCTGTACCACTGCAGCCAAGTTCTACACTTCCGTGTTGTTTTACTTCGTGAAATATGCTGCCTGAGCCGTTTAGCGGCTGCAGCTCATTATTGATGGTGAAGTTGGCTATGCAGCCCGTAAAAGGTTCTTCATTTATCAAAACGTTAGAGGCGCCGCCCACACAAAGCGTTGAGAGATACGGATCTAGGAAGTCATGCACGCCCGCAACATCCAATTCCTCGCCCACTTGGTGTCCGTCAATGAGCACGTGGAGGATGTGACTCTGGCTGCGGAGACTAACGTTGTGCCATTTGCCATCATTTAACGCTGCTGGCTCTGGCACAGTCATGTTGATCGACAGGTGCTGCTTGGAATAGTAAACCAGTTTGCCATTTAACAGGGACAATGAAGTGTACATCTGATTGGTGGCAGCATAAAATATCAATCCGTGTGACTTGTATGTGCGAAAGAGAAAACTCAAGACCTTGGGAGGGTCATAGAAGGATGTCGTTACTGCACTCGCGTTATATGATGACAGACGCTTTGTGCGACTGCCAAAGTTTGACCACGCATTGTTTCCATTATACAGATTGTCCAGAAGCTGCATGCGCCGATATTGTTCAGAGATTTTAAATTCAAGAAAACCACCACAGCTTATTCTGACAGGCTCCAGTGAGTCACCACAGTCAGGCGAGAGTAGTTCCCCACCGCACCGACACAGCGAGGTTGACCAGCGATCAACGCACTGGCCCGCATAGCTACTGCAGCGTTCCGCTGCCAAAGCTGGCTGGCAGGCCTGTCTATTGCAGCCTGGTAAAATGCCGTGCTGCTGTATCGGTGAGCTCAAATTCAAGGCGCGTCCATTGATCGAAACACTGTGAACACAGCCAACTAGGTCGTCACTGTGAATTTGACCCGGACGCTCGAGTACTGGATCTGCTGATTGTAAGCCTCCAATAAACAGAGGCTGTTTGTTGAAGTTAAGTGTGCTGCAATTAAAGCGATAATTACTTAAGTTTCTTATTTGTGGATTAAGTCTTAAGGTTGCTTACCCCATGGGAACAACGTCGTCCGCATAACAGCTGGAATCGCCGGGTATGCATTCCGAGCACACTTCGCCAGATTCCGCGCATTTAGCGATGCTCAGCGACATGACGCGACCGTTGCGGGTGGCGGTCACTTTGTGCCAGCTACCATCGGCGAGATTGAGTCCTGCCACAACTGTGCTAATGGCCGTACGAGAGCCTCCCGAAGAGAAAACCGCTTGACCCTTCACCAGCTCAATGGCCAAAAAATCTGAACGTCCTCCGTTCTGCAAGCCGTAGTTATAGACTAATAGCGCCGTCGGTTTAGTCGTTGCAAAAACTATAGAAATGTCATTTGTTGTTGGATCCAAAGAGGGAAAGCTCATGAAGGATAGCGGCTCAAATCCGTAGCTAAAACGTTCGCAATGACGCCCATAGCGACCTGATGGACAACTGCATTTATAGCTTGGCTTTAAGCTGACGCATAAGCCACCGTGTAGACACGGATTTGGTCGACACGAATCGGTAATACTCTCACACTGGCTACCCCGATAGCCGGGTCGACAAAGGCAAAAGTATGAGGCTCCATCTGGGCTACGTTGGCAGCTGCCGCCATTGTGGCAAGGCTTACTCCAGCACACATCACTGCGCTCTTTCTGGCACTCCTTGCCCTCTCGATTAGCCGGGCACTCGCACTGATAGTCATTACCCATTCGTCGGCATTGAGCCTGCCCCTGACAGGGGCTAGGTAGACAGGGATCCTGCCGCCTGGCGCACTGTTCACCCGCATAGCCCTTAGCACATTGGCAAGTGTAGTCGTGAATGATGCGCGGTCCACTCAGAACAAGCGTGGGGCTGTCGATGATGCTGAAGTGGCTTGTATCCAGCAGTCGGATGGTAGCACTGCACACCCCGCCGTTAGCACAAACATTAGGTGTACTGCAAGGTTCATAGCCGATTATTATATCCGTATGCAACAAGTCGGACAGAGATGAGCGCTTTTCACGCAGACGTTCGAAAATATGATGTGGTTGATAGTAGGTGAGGTTGGATGTGCGTACGACAAATAGAGCTTCTAGATCTATATTGCTTGCGTTATTGGTGTCTATTTCAATTAGGCTGTACAGAAGAATTTCATCACCAGGTCCAAAGCGTGATTGGAGCATCTCTAGGGCTTGACGATAATAATGGGCCAGAAACTGCGTAGCTGACATATTCCGTATTAAGAGGGGCAGAGTGTTGGCAAGTGTGTTATTGTTAAAGCTTTGAAAATCCACGGTCACCTTAGAGCTAACGTCGCCATGTTTCCCATCATTACCAGTTACGTCGTACATATATGACATTGGCGTAGTCATTGACGTTGTATACAAGTCACAGCCGCTCTTTATTGTCAGCTGCCCACTGCCT